ACCACAAGTTGGGGCTGACCCAATGGCAGCCATATGGCTGGATTAAAACTCTGGTTTCATTCTGAACCTGGGGCAGTTATCAAAGACTATCTAAAACCTCTTTAAGATTAACAGGAATTTACAGAAAAAGTGAGAATATTCTAGGAATACATAACCCAGGGTCTAAAATTTACATCAATTGGTTCATAGTATTAATAAGAACCATTGGATTAAAAAAAAAAAGAAGAACCTTTGGATAGAAATTATTGGATGAAAAGGGGAAAAAGAAAGATCCTAAAGGTAACTTGAGACCCCAAATCACAGGAAGAAGGAAAAGGTTTAGAATAACTATAAATAATGAACAAGGTCTTTTGTAGGTTATCACAAAATCAGTCTCTATAAAAATAGTCTGTAAATGGAGTCCCAGTTGTGCTAGCAAAGAAAGAATGAATCTGCCAAAAAGTTCAGAAATAGGCTCTTGTATATCTTTGGAAGGCACTCAGAAGTAGGTCCTACGTGGGAGAGGGTTCAGCTCTCGCCTCATCTTTTGTGAGCAGCCTTGAGGCAGAAATTGAAATTTTAACTAATTTCAATAAATAGTTGAAAAATAAAAAAGTAAAGACCGGATAAAAAATAGCCACATTGTCATATCTCCAACCTCATACTACACATTTTGGAAAAAACTTGAAACCCAGCAGAAAAATGCCCAGAATAAACTCAGGACCTTACAGATAAAAAGAAATGTTTCCACCCTTGTGAGAGTCTTTTAGCAATGACACCCATGAGCCTATAGAACAATGGATAAAAACACAGTGCTTGTATGAGCCAAGAAAATGGAGAAAACAGAACACAGAGGGCAATGTTGCAATGACAGATCAAGCAACCATTTTCCCATTTTACATTTTAAACCCATAAAGCAGTGGTTCTCGACTTTCCTAATGCCGCAACCCTTTAATACAGTTCCTCATGGTGTGGTGACCCACCCCCAACCATAAAATTATTTTCGTTGCTACTTCATAACTGTAATTTTGCTAGTGTTATGAATCATAATGTAAATCGTAATGTCTTAGGTGACCCCTGTGAAAAGGTCGTTCGACCCCCAAAGGGGTCGCAACCCACAGGTTGGGAACCACTGCCATAGAGAAATTTCACTGGTCATTAATAGACAACAGGTAACTTTGTTCACTGATACAAGTGCTATAACTTAAACTAAATTTCTGTAATTTTTATGCAAGCTCTCCCTCGGAGTAAACAAATTCTTTAAATGATGGCTTTATACCTTGAACCAAAGAACATGCCTTCTTACAAAATAACCAATAAGACTCTCCTGCTCAGTCCAGTGTTCACGCCTTGCAAGCGGCCATGCCAGACATGACCATTGGTCTCTGTTTGCCTAGAGCAGCGGTTCTCAACCTGGGGGCCGCGACCCCTTTGTGGGTCAAGCATCCCTTTCACAGGGGCGGCCCAATTCATAACAGTAGCAAAAGGACAGTGATGAAGTAGCAATGAAAATAATTTTATGGCTGGGAGTCACCACAATATGAGGAACTGTACTACAGGGTCGCGCGGCATGAGGAACGTTGAGAAGCACTGGCCTAGAGCAACAGAGGAAGAGGAGGAATCAGGACTACGAGTGGGGATGAATGTGGGGCTAGTTGCTCCATGAGTACCGATTTCCTTTGCTGTGAGACTAAGAGAACTGGATGGTGCCCAGCTACCTTTTCTGATCATTTTGATCAAAGATTCTAAAGAAGAATCCAGATAAAAAGGAAGGAATATATACAGAATTTCACATTCTCATGGACTCCAAATTTTCTGGAGTTATGAGGGCTGGATAAACTCTTGAAACTATAGCCTGAGTTCATCTTTAAACCGTAAACCGAAAATCCCCTAAAGTCATCTTCAAACCAAACAAAGTGTAGGTTAATTTAGTACAAAAGGTCTGCCTCTTTAAAGAACAATCTATATGGAATAGAATTGACAATAACCAAAACCAATCTCACTGCCATTGTGTAGAGTCCGGCTCATAGCGACCCTCTGGACAGAGTAAAACTGCCCCTTTGGGTTTCCAAGACTTTATATCTTTACAGGAATAGTCTCCTCATTCTCTCATGGAGCGGCTAGATGGTAGGTTTGAAACACTGACCTTGTGGTTAGCAGCTCAATGCATAGCCCAGTACACTACCAGAGCTCCTAAAATTGACAATAGTAACTCAAAAGATTAGATAGAAACCTTAAGGGACAAGGATGTCACTTTGAGGACTAAGGTACGCTTGACCCAAGCCATGGTGTTTTGAATCTCCTCAGAAACACATAAAAGTTAAACAATGAACTTTTATGAGAAAAAGAAAACAGAAACTGGACTGCAGAGATGAAAGGTTTAGGGGAAGGTATGAAAGTAAGGGGAACAATTTTTCTACGATGTTTTTCTGAAGAAAGGGAGAAATGCAGTGGCAACTAGAAATGCAACGGTGGTGAGGGGCTACATGTCTTTATTGATGGGAGAGACATAGATGTCTTCTCTTCTGCACTAAATGTGTAAGCACCAACATGGCAAGGACCATGCCTCCCGTGTTTACCACCACAGCTTCCTCATCTAGCACAAAGAGCAGTACACCTTTTGATTTCCTGAGCATCTCTGATAGATAATGATGACTGAAAGGAGTTTTAAAAAAATAAAGACTTTTAAGATCGAGAGGAAAAATACAACAGTAAGATACATCCAGAACAAAGGAGTTGGCTTTAGAGTAACAACTAGTAACAAACGAGGAGAAGAAAAAAATGGTGTGAATAAAGATAAAGAATAATATAGACTCTGCCCAAAAAAGTGGAAGATATTTACTAAACAGGGGCCCAAGTCACTAACTATTCTACAGTGCATAAAATAATCCTGCACAATGAAGAATTAACTGTCCAATTCAAACTGACAACAGTTGACAATAAGAAACACTGAAATGAATAGTTTTTATATTCCAAGTCAAATTACAAAGTTAAATGCTTACCTAGGGATTTTCCTCTCACGTGAAAAACAAATACGTTTCCTAGATGGGCAGGATCACAAACCTGAAGTTCTTTATTCCTCAGAATTCTCATGCTAGAGAATTCACTTGCTCATTAAGGATTTGTTATTTGGACCCACCCAGTCATGGTGGATGGTTACTTTCCACCTGAAATATGACTGTACTTTACAATTATATATACAGAGAGGCTTAATGAAAGATGCACAGAGAACATCATAATCTTTAGAACATTCCATAAATTTACAAGCTTTAAAAGAAAGATTTGAGAGCACATTTTTAAAACACTATGTTTTTGACTATGAAAATATGAGTCAATATTGGTCCATTAAATAAAATGCTAAAAAAGGCTTTCATTTATCTTTAAACTTATGTATACCATTTAAAATAACACAAGTGTAAGCAACATTGCTGTTTTTACACATACATATATCTAAAAATAAGGACATAATTACATTTGACCATATACTTTTGACAAAATTTTTGACTTGAAGTCGCATACAATAAAGAGCATAGTAAACTAGTTCCTCACCTTGACGACCCCGTCAAAGCCAGGGATCGTGTTGACCTTTGCTTTCTTGGCTAGTAATTTGCTCTCAATCTTGTCCCCCATGGCTTGAATAGCATGCGTGTCGGGTCCAATGAAAACGACATCTTCTGCTGCCTGTGAAAAAATACAAGTTGAAATTTACAACGACTACAAAAAAATTAGAGAGCTTTATAGAAAGTCAAATTTTATAAAAAGAAAAATACATACATGTATTTATTATTTATATAGCAAAACCAACTTAAAAGCAAGCCTTTAAGATCTGTTGGCCCAGTTCAATTCAAGGCCCAGGGGTCAGCTCAGAAGGTTAAAAGGAATTTTTTTTTGTGGAGGGAGGGGAAAATTCCAAAGGGATCATCTTAGTAGCTTTTCATGAAGGCCACAAAATAATCACTTAGTAGAAAGAAATTTTAAGAACATCCAAAGTTGCACGGGTGAGAAAATTGCCAAGAAAGTTCTACGGAGAAATGTGTTTCAATCACAATTAACGTAACTACTCATTCTTCTAGTAGGCAAGGGCTGTCCTTCAAGACTGTGACTGGGAACCCTCACCCCATCCACCCCACTGCCGAGCCAGTCCCCACAGACTTCTTTTTCCAAAGCTCACAAAACATTTTAAAGGAACACAATTTGAGTCCTATGGGGGTATCAAGATTGCCATTTTGATGTGGTAGAAATCAAAGAGCAAAGAATTAGTCAAGAAAGGGTTAGACAGACAGAAATGCCACCATCAGAAATATATAGACCTGGATGGAGGACATATTAAAAGCTTCATATTTTGGTATTTTGTTTAATAAAATGGTTTTTATAATTTTGTAACTATATGTGTGTATATACATATATTTTAAGATAGCATGATTTTATTTCTGGAAAAAAAATGCTAAGCGTTGGGACCATTGGGAGATAGCCGATCACATCCTTTTCAATTCTGAATGCCATAAAATCTCACTTCTGCAAAAGCTATGGTTCAAATTTACAAATGTCCTACTGACTAAATAAGGAAATACTAGAACTGGTACTGTAGCTAGGAGCTACGGCTACCTCATAGTGTTCTGGCAAAAGGGGAAGAGTATTTCAAATTTGAAAGCTTAAATTTTAATTAAATATAAAGCTGAGTACTTCTTTCAAGCCCCACTTAGTCACTCATTTACCATCCACATAGCACTTTTGATCAGTCGTGGAGTTCAATCTCCTGGCCCACTCACGCGATTACCTAAATTGGGTCAGTCCATGGTACGGACCAGTTTCTCAAAGACCTTCCTACCAAATACCTTCATACCTCCATAGGTTCATTCTATAGTCAAGAGTTTTTAATTTATAAATGTTTATGCGATTATTTACATCAGGATAATAGTAACAGGTATAAACCGTTCTTGTTCTATCGTTTAAAACCAATAAAAGAAGTAGACAACAAGATAGCAGAGTATTTGATGCTTGAAGGCAAATGTATTCAGGTCTTTTCTGTGCCGGATGTAAGTACAAGATGTCTATGTGCTATTTCTTTTTCACACCAACAATTTTGGAGCAACGTGTGAGTACCCATTCATCCTTCTGGGTGGGCCAGCTTGCAGTTTATGACAGGGAGAGGCACGTTCTTGCTGACGTACGGACTAGCCATGTAGGGAGAGTGCTGAGAAGAGAAGCTAATGTCTGTTGTGTCTTCCATCATCGGCAAGTTCAAGCCAGGTCAGTACCAAGTTAACCTGTCCCGACAGAGTGCTATTCTTATCTGCCAGTGCAAGGAGGAAGGCACAGGGGGAGAGGAAGATGAGGAGAGAGTCAATATCCTGTGGTACAGTGTAGAAGCTCCTGCCTGGAAAAACACAGCTGAAGAATGAGAAGTCGTCCGCCTCAGGATGCCATGCCCAGCAGAAAGCCTCCAAAAAATCCCCCTGTGACAAGGACATTCGTCTTCACAAACGATACCACCTCCTCTGCTTTGCTCTGGACTTCGCTGGAGATTTGGTCGCTATTACGAATTTTCAGCTGTTCCTTGGCTTTCCTCATATCCTTTTCGACCCGCTGCCAGTCAATCTTGATGTAACCGGTATGGTTTGCGATCTGAAGGAGGAAAAATCCACCGCCCACAGCTGTTGCCGCCAACTTTCCAACCTTCTGGAATATGAAACCCGTGCACCATCCGGTGACGCCTCCTATGAGCAGCTGGGTGGCCACGCTGCACTTTTCAGCAGCGGGCCCGGGTTCTTGGCCGAACAACTTGCGCCACCAGGGCTGCTTTTTAGCAAATTCTGCAAGGTCCAGAGGCTGGATGTTTCCTTGACTGGAACCAGCCATTTCGGAGACCTCGCCTCGCGAGGACACCCACAGGGTCTCGGCGCGATGAGATTCTGGTAAATGTGTCCTTGCCGCCTCCAGCTGGCTTCCGGCACGTGGGGCAGTTGTTTCCATCCCCTTGGCCTTGGTGAAAGAGGGCGGGCCGACGCTCAGCTGCCCAACCCCTGCCCTCGCGGCCAGAGACGTCACAAAGCCTCTTTGTACCGATAATTTTTTACTTCTCCTGAGACATGGGATAAATGAAACAAAGTCTGGTCAAAGAAAAATAACTGAAAGACATGAACTCTTGCTTGATATTATCTATACCCTTTGGAAAAGCAAATTCTCTGATGCTATGTTTATGGTTTAATATCCTGCACCCAATATAATGAGTTTGTATTTAAAACACCTCATAAATCTTTGTATTCTTGACACTGTAACACAGTGCTGGGTATAACACAAATACTCATACTTACTGAGTATCAACTGTGTGCCAGGGATTTGAGCTAAATGTAAAGACAACATGAATGAAAACCACAGGGTGTCAATAATAATTCAAGGGAACAGGAATAGACCAGCACCTCAGAGAAGGAGACAAAATATAGAAAGTTTATATCCATTTTTTAAAATATTAATCAGTTTATATCCTGTGAGTACAAGAAATTAATTTCAAGTTGTGGTGAAGTAAAATAAAGTACCTATGGCTCTTCTGTCCATTTCTCTGTAATTCCCACCAGATGACTGACTGAGTGAGATTACACGGCGTGGAAGACTCTAACGCCATTAGAGGGGCTGCAATGCTCAGACCATGCCCAAGTGGTGAGGCAAAGCAGCGGTAGGCTTCCTGACCCATGGACACAGGGGTCAAAGGAGCCCATGATTGAGTCTGGGAATCAGAGAGACTTGACTGCTGGCTCAGAAGAGGTGGTGCTGCTGTGGAGCAAAGACCACATCTTTTAATGTTTTCTGATCCTGGCTTGTGGTTATCTGTTAGCTTCCCTACGAACCCCCCATAATAAGAGTATTGTCTTTGAGTTCTGTTGGTCATTGCATCAAATGATTGAAGTCCACAAAGACGGAGAGTGTTGCGGGAGCTGCAGTCAGTATCAGAACAGGGTAAGAAAGGACGGGGGCATGTTTGACCTTATGGCAATAGGCCTTTGGCTGGTATCTATTTTCCTTGTCCTTTGTGTAGCTAAGTGGGGTTAGACATGGCTGCCAGGCTATTTCCTCAGGGATACAGTGGGTATTTAGATTTATGGTTTCAATAAAAATTGTTATGCACACATTATGTTTACTTCACTGGGAATAGGTCCACTAAGCCATGTTAAAGTTATTATAATCAAGTAAATGCAAATTAAGTAAACAGTAATTAGAAGCAGAACAAAATACTATCTTGTTTGCCAGAGTATGGAACAAGATCGAAAGAAAAGAGGGATTTTTTGAGAGGAAGGATAACGTCATTAGGTAAAAATTGAAGTCAAATATAAAGTAGATACAAACAGACCTACGTTCTAGGCAACAAAAAAATTAAGATGTATACTTAGATCCTCCCATAGCCTTTAGTCAAGGTCAAAACAATAATAAATTCGCTATTTGTATATCATTTTTATGTCTTCTGTTCTACCTTTGACATTACTACCTGATAAAAATCCTTTGCTGGGCAAAGATACTCTCTACTCCTGATGGCTGCAGTTCAACAAGCAATATGATACTTGGACTGCCTTCTGGCCACTCTATCCCAGAGGACTAAATCCACCCAGAGCAATGAGTAGAAGCAGAACGGTGAATCAACAGAATGAATATCTGAAGGATATGAGGGGCAGATATTTGGATGAAAGAAGATGAATGTTGCACAAACAAAGTTGAAATGCCTGTGTGACTGTCAAGACTGATATTCAAAAGCGGAAACAGAGGTCTTAAGGTTTTGAGACAAATCCAGAATGAGATACAGATTTTTCAAGACATCAACTATGAAGGGATTAAAAGAATATGAGTGGGGGGAAAAAATAAAGGAAGAAAAAAGCCAATTGTTTTAAACTCGGGATGTATGCTTTCCTTCCTGCTCAAGAGCAAAACAGAAGAGAAAGTACACGTTCTGAGTTTAGTCTATGAACTTCCATTTGTTCATGTGAAATGAGAATAATAACTACCTGGCAAGTTTGACTCTTCAGTCTAAACGAACTAATAACCTAAAGCACTAAGCAGATTGTCAAGATTGTTAGTTTTTGTTGTGTTTTTCCTTCCCTATCCAGAAGGTTCTGATAAGACAGGAATACTAGACTAATAAGACAGCTAGGCCCATAGGATCCCTATATAATATAGGATCTAAATACCTATAATTACCAGTTTCAGAAGTACAAAATTATAGCTAAGAAACACTTTCAGCCATAACCAATGCTTATAAAGTTCCTTTCCATCAAATGTTTTTATCTAATTATTCAAAGTAAAACTTTGTTTTCTAAATATATGTTATGTCAAACTATATAAATGTATAATACATGAAAGTAGACCTGCTATATGAGGGGGAAACGGTAGTAGGCCATCACCTCACTTAACGACATAATCTATGTTTTCAACAAGATAACTAAACTACTTTAGAACATAGCAATAGTTGTATTCATTTTTCTTTATCCCAAAAGGGCAACCCACTCCATTTTCATATTACTTGCTAAGGTAAAAGCAGCTCACCATAACCACTTATTTAAAAGCCACTATACACACAGAGATGGGATTTTCTACTCCCATAGAGCTACAGTCTCTGAAACCCACTGAAGCAGTTCTGCCCTGTCCTATAGGGTCACTATGAGTCAGGATTGACTCGATGGCACTGCCTTTGATTTTAGTTTTAGTTTTTAATACCATGCAGATGCAATCAAGCAATCTGAATACACACACACATACACACACACATAGCCAACATAATAGCATAAATGAGAAAAATAGGTTATGATTATACAATCCAGCTTCTAATAGGAACAAAACAACTTGGAACCAATGATTAAACAGATTTTTCTCTGCAATATAAATTGAGGTCATTTATTCCACTGCCGCCCCCCAATATAAAATTGACAAGGAAAAAAAATAAGCTTACATCAAATATTTAAGAACGACTGTTTCATCCAACAAAAAAGAAAACAAACAATAGTAATCTGGGTAACTACTCAGACAAATGTTTTAATAAACTACTTTTTTTTGTTGATGATTGGACATTTTTATTGAACACATTGTAATAAGACTAAGACATATATGAGGGGGTGACCAAAAAAAAAAAACTACAAAAACCCTGCTGGGCAGAGCTTTCGGAGTGCGCATTTTTCTCGCTAGGCTACCATCAAGCAGCTCGCTGAGTTGGTACACCCAGTGGCATCGCCTGGGAAGGCTATCTCTGCTCAGTAATTTTTTTCATATAAGTAGTTTCACTCAAACCTTGTTTTTTGTGATGTCTGATTTAAGAGAACAGTATGCAGTAAAGGAAATTTTGTTTCCTGCTCAGGAAAAATGCCGGAGAATCTTTTTTTATGTTGAACACAGCTCACAGGACAGTGCTTTGGGAAAAACTAAAGTGTATGAGGCTTTTTCTCATTTCAAAAAAATTGAAGTGTCGATTGATGACAAATTTCATTCTGGACACCATCAACTTCCAGAATGGGCAAAAATGTCAACAAAATTCATGCACTTGTGCTTGAAGACTGACAACAGATCATTGAAGAGATGGGGAAGTTATCTGGATTATCTTGGAGCTCAGTTCAGTGAATTTTAACAGAAGATTTGAGAATGAGAAGGGTTGCTATGAAATTTGTGCCTCAGGTTCTAATTGACCAGCAAAAAGAGCATTGAGTGGAAACATGCCATGCTTTGAAAGAACAGCTCTGATGTGACCTAGACTTTTTTATAAGGTCATTACTGGTGATGAGACACGGTGCTATTCTTACAACCCCAAGCAAACATCAACCAAGCCAGTGGAAGACACCATCGTCACCTCACCCAACACAAAAGCTCAGCAAGTGAAATCAAAGATCAAGATGAGGCTCCTTTGGTTGTTTTTTTTTATGTGAGGGGGATAGTTCATTTGGAGTTAATTAATAGTCAGGCTGCTAATCAAGTTTTCTATTTAGAGGTTCTGAAAAGACTGCATAACAGTGTGCGACAAAAAAGACCTGATTTGGGGGAGGGGAGGACTGTTTTGCTACCACAACAATGCATCCACTTAAGCAGCCATGTTAGTGCACCAGTTTTTGGCTAAAAACAGCATGTCTCTCTTGCCCCATGCTCTTACTCACCTGACCTATCTCCGTGTGACTTCTTTTTGTTTCCATGAATGAATAGGAACATGAAAGGGCAGCGATTTGATGGCATAGAAGCGGTGACGAAAAAGGGAGGAAGGTACTGTCAGCCATCCAAACAGATGAGTTGGAAAAGTGTTTCCAAGTATGGAATTTCAGATTTTACAAGTGTATTAAGTGTAATGGAGAGTACTTTGAAGGCAATAAGGTTGTTTTGTAAAAAATATATAAATACATAGCTTTGAAAAAATTCCAGCTCTTTGGGGTTACCCCCTCATACATTATTTTATATTCCTGGGGGATGTGGAAGTGAAGTATGTAATTTATAAATGGGAGTAGATTAATTTATCATCAGACTTTAACAGAAAATACCCATGCATATGTTTGTTATTCAAGGAAAGAGAACAGGAGCCAAGAATGTTAAATTTAATAAAACTATCTTCTAAGTATAAAGGGCAAAGCAAATAGCATGCAAGAAATTGCTTGTGAAAAGCCCAATGGAGCAGGAGTTGGCAAACTACAGTTCATTGACCAAATCTAGCCTGCCACCTGATTTTGTATGGTGCAAAAAATAAGAATAGTTTTATAGATTTAAAATAATTTGATGGAGGGGATAGGGGGGTCCAAGGGACAATCACATCACAAGATTAAATTTTATGAAACTAAAAGACATTTCCATTAGAGCAAAACCATATTCATTAGTCTATACTAATGTTAGGTTTCTGGAATGGGCTATACCCTAGCTATACCCTAGGCTATACTCTAGCTGTTAGGTTTCTGGAATGGGCTATACCTCGGTTCTTGATTTAAGGCGCTGAAAGAATTCATGCCACAGAAGCACTTTTGTAA